TCCAATTCCACACTGCTTAAATAGTTATAGCCTTCTAATTAGCCTCGTAGGGCAAGACTCCAGTCCTTAGTTTTCTTTTTCAAAACTGTCTTTGTTAGTTTTGTCTCTTTAATCTTCCACATGAACTTTAGGGTAGGATTATTAAATTCCTTGAAAAGTCTTGTTGGGATTCCGATTGGAACTGTAGTGATTCATAGATCCATTATAAACTCACAGGGGGAACTATTGGAGCTACACAGTTATATCTTTCAATCCCTATATGTCTCATAATTTATCCAGTGCATCTTTTATGTAATGTTTTGTAATGTTTCCCAAATAGGTCTTGCATGTATTCTATTAGATTTTTGCCTAGGTATCTACTATAAATTAGCGATTTTATATATATATATATATATATATATATATATGTGTGTGTGTGTGTGTGTGTGTGTGTGTATATATATATATATATATATAAATTTTTTTTTCTCTTACACCCTGAACATGGATCCAGAATGCTGAATTCTCTTATTTGTTTGAATTATTTGCCCACAAATTCTCTTGCAGTTTTCTATGTAAATAATCCTATAGTCTGCAAATAAGGACAATTAGTTTCTGCCATTGGGGTGTAAACAGAAGTCATATACACAAATTCCAGTCATATCCCTAAAGGGGAAACATAACCACTTTCCCCTTCTCTCCTTCCTGCCACCTGGAATGCAGATGTGATGACTAGAATTGGAGCAATCATATTGGACTTGAAGCGATCTTAAGGAATAAAGATCACACAAAACATAACAAAATGATAGTAAGAACTTGGCTCTGGACTACCCAACCAGTCTTTTACATGTAAGGGAAATAAAAAAAAATTTAGATAGTTCAGAGTTTTCTGCCACTCAAACCCAGTCCAATCTTACAACACTATCAGGATAATGAGTGATAAATTCCCAGTTTGCCATTGGTTTTTATTTTTTTCATAAATTGTGTTTTTATAAATTGCTGATCTGTATTAAAGAGATAAATTATATTGATAGATTTTTAATGTTCACCCATCCTTGGGATTCTGTCATGATACGTTCTTAGAGTTTGCAGAGGTCCAAACATTTTATTTCTTACTCTTCCCAAGGTTTTAATATGAAAAAAATTTAAACATACAGAAAAGTTGGTCTGTACAGTGAACACCCATATATCCACTACCCAGGTTCTACAGTTAACATTTTATTATGTTATATTTGCTTTGTGTCTTATTTATTATGATATGTTTTAAAGGCTTTGCTTAATTCATTTAGCTAATATTTTCAAGTATTTGTTTACATGTGTTCAATGGTGAGGATAGCCAGTATTTTCTTTTCTTATGCTGTCTTTGTCCAGTTTGGGTATCAAGAATATACTTATCGGGCTTCTCTGGTGGCGCAGTGGTTGAGAGTCCGCCTGCCAATGCAGAGGATACGGGTTCGTGCCCCGGTCCGGGAAAATCCCACATGCCGCGGAGCTGCTGGGCCCGTGAGCCACGGCCACTGAGCCTGCACGTCTGGAGCCTGTGCTCCGCAACGGGAGAGGCCACAACAGGGAGAGGCCCGCGTACCGCAAAAAA